GCTTTTACGTAATATACAGTTTGGTGCAAATTTATGACGACGAATTGTAGAAGAGGAAGAGTAAACGTCCTTCTAGATATGTAATTATGGAATTAGGATGTGCGCGTAAAAGCGTACAGGTATATTAGTCGAAGCTTAATTAAGACTGCCCGGGCTACTGCACACTGAACCTAGAAAAAAAATTTATTTTCATCGCAAATTACCATCGTCGATTATCATCAAGGTCATACTTGAGATTGCATATTGAATTAATGTAGAATAAACTACTGCGCGTAGATGCATAACTTCAGTTTTTACTTTAATTTATATATGTTTGGGTATCAGAGCGAATCTCGAAAGGAAAGAAATATACGTTAACAATTATTATTAATCAACCAGAGTCATTATCGTTGTTATTACAGTTAATGTAATTTAATTTATTAATTTATACCGTTAATATTAATATTTATAATTATATTATAGTATTACGTTGAATATACATATTCAACGTAATATAATATAATTATAAATAAATGTGTAATATGTATATAAATAATATTAATAAATTTTGTTAATACAGATACGCTCTCTCTCATGCGATTTGACAGATTTATATTATTTTGGAAATATTATTAGTATAAAATTATTATTCATTTTCACATCTCAGTTGATGCATATAAAATACACATTTTTCTTGTCGATCTCGGAAACTCGTAAACGGCTATTTCCACGCCACATTTCTTAAGACTACACAGGTGGCCTGCAAGCTGTCCGCGGTTGTGCCTTTCCCTCGGAAAGAAAAGCCGTCCGCAAGAATGGATGCATTAATGTTCGAGTGGATTATACAAATGCACGTGTTACTTTTGCATTCGTAACGCACGCAACGTCGCCGGAGTTCAGTAGTTAACGACGTGTGAATATTTATGGCACTGTCAGCACTCGTTTCCGTCATCGTACCTCGATTCGAGCGCGCCGCCGTCGCGCCGCGTCGCTGCTTTTATCGAACCAACTGAACTCGCTCTCTCGTCTCTACCCGGTGCGAATAAAGTCAAGCCGCGTTGTTGTACGTTGCGTTGTACGCTGCTGCGTCCCGTTGTGTGCCGGCGCGGCGTCGGCCGTTGCACCTCGCGCATTTTCCGCCGGCAGGAACATAAACAATAATGCGTTACGGAATAATAGGCGGACTTAAAATAACGAGCGCGCGACGCGCGAAGCGGTAAACGCGATAAAATACGCGCGGTACAATTAATCAGCATCCAAAGAAACTCTCCGCGCTCTGTACGTAGAACAATATAATCTTACCGCGTAGACTATCAGGATTGAGATCGCGTTACGTGAGGTAGTTGAGAATTAGCACAAACACCAGCTGACGAAAGAAAAATCGAAATAGGACGTGCGCGTGATAAATACATTATTGTTGCAGAAATCCTTATGTGCTCTATGTGTATATACTTATTTTATATCTCTCGAACGCGTATATTGGTTCTTCCAAGTTCCGAGATCGCAGATCAAAGCCTGAGTTAAGCGCGGAAACGGTATCGTCTCGACATGAACGGAGGCAGGAAAGAGAAAGACAAGGAGAAACGAAAGAAAGAAAGGAAAAAAAAGAACAGAAAACGTTCGCGGCGCGCGATACCGCATCGACGTGCGGAGACAAAGAGCACGCTTACTAGATATAAACGGTTCCCTACGTGTCTCACGCCCTGGCCTTATCGTTATCGCTCCGTTACTCATGGAGAGCCGGAGTGCGCGCGCGCGCGCGCGCATTGCTACGGGAGTATCGCGAGCTGCGCGGCGGTTATCGTTATCCGTTATCGTCGCGCGTTATCAGCGAAGTTCGAGCCTGGCACCGAGAGGGGAGCGCGCGGCGACAGGGGTGCCGCTTCTACCGCCGGAAAACTAACGTGATATCGCGGTCTCGCCAAGGTCCGAGGAGCAGCCGAATTCAGCCGAGTCAATCTTTCAGAATATTCATGAAGAAGATAAATATAGTAAACAGAATTGACTTATATTACAAGAATTATTCTTAGTTTTTGCTGCGTCTAACTCGAGATGATAAAAAAGGCGAAAGTTATTTTACTCGGTCAGTAACCAAAGCCTTACATTCTTTAATTGTTTTTATTGCATCTAAGAGAGTGTATATTGATATTTTGTATAGTTAAAGCGTGTTATCAGGATTTTAGCTCGGAAAGAAAAAAATAACATTGCGAGGAAACAAATTGATAAAATTCTCATTATTCCATTTTTAATCTTTCGAAGAAAGCGATCGCGTGCGATTCACGCGAGTCGTGAAATGACTTGATACTGATGTCAGCGATTATTCTCGGGAATAATTGATGAATCACCGAGTTTCTCCTCCTTCATGAGAGCGCGAGCCCCGGAATTGCCGTCTTCCGGTGTGTGTACCCGGTGGGTCAACAATGAAGAAGAAGACGAAGTGAAGCGAGGAGGAGAAAATAGGGCGAGGGCGCGAGAGAGCGAGAGAAAGAGACAAGAACGACTGTCGAATGTTTACTTGGTACTTATCGTGCGGTAACAGAATGCAAAGGACGGAAAGAAGGATCTCGGCAGTGACACGGAGCGAGAAAAGCGACGGCAGAAGGGAAAGATGGAGGGAAAGGTGAAGCGAGAGAAAGAGAGACAAGGACAGAGAGCGAGCGAGAGTGCGAAGAGGAGGAGGAGAGTGATAACAGGTAGCCATGGGTCCCTAGGCCGCGGGGAAACCAGTGATAGTGCTTGCACCGCAAGAGCGAGCATCTCGTCGTGGTCTCTAAATGTTTCGGTAGAAAACCGGTAGAAAAGCCACGAAATTACGATGTGAAAAGTAAAGCAGAAAAATTAAAAAAGACGAAAGTGCGCGATATGAAAATAAGAGTTGAACAATAAGAGCGAAACGACGACGTGAAATCTGTGTGGATTGTTTGAGTGCTAAATATTTTGTTTCTGTATTTTATATGTGTTTATTATTGTACATGTGATCGTTCCGATAGTGAAAACCTGTCAGTACGATAAACTCCGGAATGATGATATCCGAGAGTTAAAAGCCGTAAAATTTTGTGAAATTGCATTATGGATGAGGAAAGATATAATTTTGTTTGTGCGATAAAGGTGACGATTGGAGAAGAAAGTATTTTTATCGTTCTACAGCTTGAAAAATAAAATTTACACAAAACTTTCAGGTATTTTAATAAGCATGATCTTGTTTGAGTGACGAATGCATTTTCAATTATAAAAGTAATAGATTCAAAATATCGCAGAACATTTAAAAATGTGCTGATTTTAAAATCTTTAAAGATTTTCAATACGTTAAGTGCGTCAAATATCACAATATCTTGAACTTTAATCTAAGATATTAATCTATAATCTATAAAGATATTAATCTATATCTATATCAAAGGTATCAATCTTGATCTATATTTTTTCATATTAAATATATCAAATATCTTTATTTAATGAAAGACTTTTAATAAGTTGAAAATCTAACATAGATAATGTTACTTTAATGTAAATAACGTGTTGCAAGGGTCGACGCTGATATAACGTTAACAGATGACATTACATTTTATTTTATAACTTGACAATGTTTTTGTTATTATATTATTCGTGATGTCTGTAAGATAATTTTTACGAGGAGTATATACACACACATATTCGAATTGCGTCGCGGAATGAGGGACTCGTGAGATAGAGGAGGGAATTCTGAAATGAAATAAAGTATATTAACAACTCATGCCCGTATATGTAAAATCGCATAATTAAGAGCGGCGAAACCGCTTGAACCGCACGTGTCAATTAAAACTTGCGCATGTAGGAGGGTTCTCTTGCACTTGTAAGCAAGTTATAATTAATCCGTCAAAAAACGCACGGCGAAGCGGAAACAACAAAACTATTTGCCATTCCTGAAAAAGAAACATTTACGAGATATATTAATCGGAAAGTTTCTTACATTCGTTACTTTCAACTTCCAGTTTCATTCTGACGCAGAGCCGGTTTTTAAAACAGTTACATTTTCACGTGTTTAGATTTATACACTTTTGTATATTGCTATTATATATTTTTCTTATTTTATTTCTCTGTCTGTCTCTCTCTATTATATTTCTTATGTTTCCATACCTTTACGTGTGTTCTGTATTTTTATATTTATACTTCTGTTTGCCTCTTAAAATTCGTTATTCTTTTGGAAGAAATTCTGTTCTTTATAGTTCTCTCTTTTATAATAATTTTATATTCATACTTTTGTTCGCATTTGAAGATTTTTTTTTAACGTGTCAGATTTTTCAATCTCGAGATTATACGCGCGCGCGGGATAAATTTCTTAATTGTAGTCGCGTAGAATCGATGCAGTTTTACGTCTCGTAGATGCGGCGCGTAAACGTGCGTGTGTGCGATCGATAAGATGACGATCGATAAGGGTACGCCGGCGCGCCTTATCGGGCAACGTGCGTGCGATAAGATCTCTGCTCTCTCGTGTATGAAGAGCGAGGGGGAGGAGCGGATAATCCGCCTGGTATCCTCGAGCTCGAGCTCGCGCTCGTGACCCCGCGATATACGGAATGTATTTTAATGGAACGTGAGGCGCGCGCGCGGGACTCGGAGGTTTTCTTCTTCGAGCTGATTGTTCACGAGTCGTGATACGCGTCAAACGTTTAACGATATATCGATCGGTGAGATTCGTGACGTACGTGTCGTGTCCCGAGAGCGCGAACATTCCGTCGCTCGTTCCACGATCGATTTCCGCGACCGGCAATTTGGTGGATCTCGTCTGTGATTCGACCAGCCTGCAAAAACGTTTTATGTAGAGATTCGCGATCGATTTGCGAGTTTGCGTCTCGCGCGAGCGATTCCCGCGTCTACGAATTAAAATGAAGGGACCGTAGATCGGGAACTTTCGGACAGAAACAAAATTTTTAATTGAAGTTTTTTTGCAGCAAGTTTATTTGAAAATCTACAGAAGATTATTTTGATGCGGATTATTTTATGAGCTTATTTGTGAATTATATTTTTCAAGAAAGGTTGTATTTTATTATTAAAATTATGGAAAACTTTGGTAATAGAGGAACTAATAACTGTATATATATTACGTTTAAAAGAGCGAGAACTCCTCGAAACATTTGCGGTGAGAATTATGTGTGGGTGCCCGAAACTTTTGCTCGAGATACTTTGATGCGCGTACTCGTGTTTACACACATGCTGCTTTTGCACCGTGATTGAATCTCTGTGAAAGAACTCGCTTTGGTGTGCCTTGATGAGGAATGATTTACGGATTATGTTGAGAAACGTGACGAGTGCGGGAACGCTAAGTGTCTTCCCAGTTTGAGAATTCGTTCCCTGCCGCGCAGATCATGAGCATTATACAGTTGTGGCGTCAACGTAGGGCGAGTCAGCTGCGGGCCGAAACTGCTCTCTCCTTGTCGAGTAAGTAGCTTTCTTGAAATATTCTTATATAATTCTTTGGCCCCTTCCGGATGAAAGTTATTGTGCCTTGAAATTATACTGACGTATGATCAAGCTCTGACGTGATTATTGTATAAACTACAGCGCTAATTGTATTATTGTAGCGTAATTTTCTTTTGAAGGAAGGACTATTTTATTATAATATTCGTAAAATATAATGTAAATTATACATATTACATATAATTAATATTGTATGTAATTTACATATCATAAATTATGTGTGTATGTGTCGACATAATAATCTTCAATTATTAATAAGTAATAATAATAATATTACCAAATGCAATGATATAATCAGAGATTAATTATACATTATACTTTTTCTATATCTCCGAGTGAGGATGATACTATAGAAAATCTCACTGTTAAATATCAGGCTCTGAAAATATCAGTATTAATTCTGTTAAATAGAAAGGTGTATCTCGAATCATACCACATAACAAAAAAAATTGGCTCGTCGAAATAAATTATGTGAAAGATAGGTATATGTGGAATACATAATATTTTTATGATATTTTCAAAATTTTGTTGAAATTTCCTTCTCCTTTTTTTTTCTCCCTCCCCCCCCTCTCTCTCTCTCTCTCTTTCTCTCTCTTTGTCTCCTAGGAGAGAAGTATATAGAAGAGAAAGAGTTTCGATGAGTGCGAGTCGCGGCTCGTCGCGGTCTCGCAGAGCGCTAATGGGAGGAGTTCATTAAGATCGCGCGATTAGGACGCCTTATCGCGGCTAACCGAGGCTCGTTACTTTCGCGTGACGTCACTTCCTCTCTCTCTCCCGTCCCTCCGGACCGCCCCTCACCACCTCTGTCGCCTCTTTTCAGCTTTTTTTTACCGCGTGCTTTGTTCTCCGAATTTCGCCCGACGATCCTTTCCCCGATGAGTCGACAGCTGGCGAGGAAATTTTCGTATCGTATTAGGATATAGGAGAATAAATTCTTAGACGGGCTATCTCGTACAGGATGTCTCGTGGTCGACGCGCGAAATCTTAATGAAGGATAAATTCGATTTTATGGGCACACAATTTTTTCTTGGTGAGAATTTTATAATTAATTAATCATAGATTAAAAATTCGTAATTTTGTATTAAATATTAATGAATGTTTCGTATTATATAAATAAATTACGGACTAAAATTAAATTCTGTATGAGATAATTTAAATTAGCAATAATTTTATATTACCATTATTTTTTGATAAATTATGAGCTAAAATAATCTGCTAAAATCTCGTGTTAAAAACTTCTATATTAAATCGGCGAAGGTTGGATATTATGAAAATTTTTAGAATGATCTCTTTTTGTAATTATCTCTTTTGATATGATTATTTGCTAAGCGGCGTATTTTTTTCTTGTTACATCTTCGAATCCTATTTGAGTCCTATTAACTCTGTTAATTTGTTTTAATTTCTGTTAACAGGTATTACATTCCTTTCTTTAATTAAATCGCTTCTATTAAGATATCTTATTAAAGATCGTCTTACTTGAACTCAGCATCCTACCTTGATATTGAAACTTCGCATGAGTCATCGGTCTTAATGCGATTAGTCGATTAAGAGGCAAAAACACGCGTCTCTCTCGAGTTGTATTCGTTCGTGAAAAAGTGCGACGCGATCTATAACACAGATCTACAGATCGTAATCGAACGCGATGCGATTAGCGACCTTATCGGGTACAGCGATAGCATCGCCAGAACGTTTTCGTTGTCGGTTTGGCCGGCCGATAGAGCGGCGATAAATTGTCCAGACGATGATTAGCGGGAAGAGTAGATACGGTCGTAGATCGCGATCGCACATCGATCGATCATCGATCGAAAAATCGCCGATCGCAATGATCGATATCCTGTTCTTTCTTTCCCTTCTTCACTCTCCCCTTCTCTCTCTCTCTCTCTCTCTCTCTCTCTCTCTCTCTCTCTCTTTCTCTCTTTCTCTCTTTCTCTCTTTCTCTTTCTCTCTCTCTCCCTCTCTCTCTTTTTCTTTCTGGATGGACTTTGCTTTCGCTCGCGATTATCGATCGCCTGCAAGGCAAACTCGATGCAAACGGATTAATAAGGCGGAGAGAAACGTCTAGAACCTCTAACAATGAAGGCATTCTTGACAGCAACGGTTGGTCTTATTATTACGATGTCTTATTGTCGAAGATATTCCTGATTTCTCGATTTTTCGTTGTCCGTTCTTTACGCATTCATGCGTAGCGAATAATGATATATTAACAGCATTAATCTAAAAGTAAACTTGTTAATTTAATACACCACGTTTTTTTTTTAATAAAATGTATTTATTTGATTTATATATTGTTATGGAATTAACAAGATTATTTCCAATTAGATCTAATGCTGTTAATACATCACTTTTTTCCGTATATCTGCTCGTTAATATTAATTATCTTTTGAAAAAACTTAGAGACAAGATACGAACGATTAAGTTGTCTTTGAGTAATCTCATTTTATAAAAGTTACAACAGCAGAGACTTTCCAATTATATGCTTCACATATTAAATCTCTAAGATTATGTTTGAAAATTGTCTTTTCCGATATCTTTTTAAGTATTGAAAGATCTAATGGGAAATTTTTGGTACCAGTTATTCGTACTAGTTGCTTATTCTCAATGTTTATCTTCTTAATGTCAGATTGCTACCAATGACCCTTCCGTTACCGCGAAGCAGGTATCGCGGGAGACTATCCTGCCTGCGAAATCGCGCAAGCGAGGATCTCACTCTCGCATGATCCCGGACGTCTTAATTAATTCCACAGGCCCGACAGGGATCGCGGGGGCTCTCAATCTCCGTCCGTCCCGTTCTCTCCCCATCGCTCCCTCCCGCGATTTCATAAATAAAGATACAAACGAGAGGCTATACGAGTAAGCCTATCGCGAGAGAAAGAAAGAGAGAGAGGGGGGGGGAGCGAGAGCTCTCGGCGATCTCTCGGTACCCCTGTCCCCCTTCCCTGTCCCCCGTGTAATCTCGATGGCGAGGCACAGAGAACGAGGAGGAAGGGCCGTGTGCACAGCGCGGGGTGGCGCGCGAGGAGGTATGGGATACGGTGAGGTGAAGATCTCTCGTCCGATCGATCCATCGATGGATACATACGTCCATCGGTAACACGCCTCTGCCGATCTCACCTTCTCGTGAGCCTCGTATAAGGGCTCGAAGGACGAAGTAAGCAGAGCGAGAAGGAGGGAGGGAGGGAGGAAGAGAGGAAGAAGAGCCCCCGAGGAGCCCCTCGTTGCACAATTATCTCATTTGCCGATCGGACCCTCCCACGTGTTAATTTGCTTGTTGGTTAACCCGCCCGTTTCCTCCCACCCTTCATCCCTTATCGGTTATTTCGCTCTCTCGACTTTCGTGGAACCCCCTGTGCTTCTTCCTCCTCCCTGCTCTTTTCTTTTTATTCTTTTCTCTCTCTCTCTCTCTCTCTCTCTCTTTCTCTCTTGGAAAGTTTGCTTCCTCTTTTCTTCCGCTCTCTTTCCTTCCGTTCCGCTCGGACGGAATCGCGCCGCCGATCGCTCCAAAATGAATTCGACCGTCACTGATCGACGAGCGCGAATGTCGATCGATATAAAAACAGACCAATTATCTTTCGCACGCTGGGTAGAAGAAACACGCGTGCGTGTGTGTGTGTGCATGTCCGTTTTCATCAAGTCGAACACTTGCCGACCATATTTGGGTCTTTTACAATCCAATTAAATCTTTCGGACATCTTTTCGCACATGTATGAGCCAATACTCGCCAATATTGACATATGTAAATTGTATGTATGTATGTGTGATACATTATTACATTATTAATACAAAAAATATATTATTATGTTAATAGAAAATAATATAAAATTTACATATTATACATATCCAAAAAAATTATTCTCATTAATATTTGCTATCAGCATGTGTAGAGCTATTTTATCTCGCACATAATCAGTATAAAGTAATACTAAAACGAAGACGACTTATATTAAAATATTAATTAAAATGTTAATTATGATATTAAAATAAATATTAAATCTGTAAGGAGAAAATCACGTATGAGATATAATCGTTAACTGATCAATCCGAAACATGGATTCGGGGAATCCCGTTTTTCCCTGACATCTTGGACTGCGACGAGTGTTATTGGAAATCATTGCGATGTTTCGTAAAGGCAAATCGCATTGGGTATCTTGTTACGCGCGTTAATCCGGCAGGAAGAAGAAACTACGTCTCGTTCGCTCGGCCGACTACGAGGTAAAAGAAGGACAAGAAGAAAAAAAGGTCGGGTCCGGGGAAAAAATGAGAAAAAAACGACGGGGAAGGGAGGGAAGGGACCGATAAGGCCAGTCGATAGAACGAATGGAGCCAAACATTCGCCGCGGCTCCGCTGCAGATAAGATCCCGTATCTGCCTGAGAAACCGTGCTTTTTATGCTCCCGACCATCAGCTCTCTCTCTCTCTCTCTCTCTCTCTCTCTCTCTCTCTTTCTCTTTCTTTCTCTTTTTCTCTCTCGTTTTCTCGTTCGTTCTCTCGTTCGTTCTCTCGTTCGTTCTCCTTGTCGTCGTTGGTCGGACAAGCGAGATGGACTTATTGCCTGCGCGCGCGGACCCGACGAAGACGGAGTCCGGGCCCCGCGCGCTGCGCCGTTGCGAGCGCACGGGCCCCTCTCGCAGATAGAGATAGCTATTTTTAATGAGAATTCCTTCGAGAACGCTGTGCGCGCGGCTATCCGATAGCCGAGAGCGCGCGACTATCTACCGGTGGTGGATTTTTAATATCAGAAATGACCGCGCGGCAGCGGGCCCGGGGGGGCCCGGTGGGGGCCCGCCGCAGATAAGTCCCTCTCCGGTCGCGCGAGATACCCCGGCGGATCCATGGCTGCCGCCATGGCTGTCTCCTTTCCATCCATTTTTATCCGTCCGCGCGTTTCCTTCTCTCCCTCTCCGTCTCGCGCTCTAACTCTTTCTCTCTCCTAAGGCTTCCTTTCGCGGGTCCCCCTTGTCGGA